TGCAGGTCTTATCTCAATTACTGAGATAAGTTTAGAACTGAATAGTTTTGTATTTATACTGAGGGGCAGAACATGGTAGCTACATCACAGTTTGTTGTCTTATTTATTTTTTCTTTTTGTTTATACCTGAGATAATCTGCTGAAAATGTCAAGATAACATTAATAACATCGTTTCGTAAGATTTTGTTTTTAATCAGTCAGTACGAAATAAACCACTGTTCATAGTTGTGCAATGTAACCTATTTAAAAAAAAATAAAAATGAAATAAAAATTATACATCATTGCAGTAGTGTAGCCTCTCAGGAGAAGCAACAACAATGAGAACACAAGTCTATATGGCAGTGACCAGTTGGGCAGGTGTCCGGCTGCCAGTATTGACCGTTATACACGTTGTATCTTTATAAATTATAATACTAATCAATTTAAACTTTGATATTATCAATCATGTTAAAAGTCACAGAAATACGTATTTTGCCATAAAGCATCATATTTGGAATGAGCCGTTTGATGGTAAAATATGTGCAGCTGTTCTTGAGACAATCTAGGGTGATTGCCAAGACACAGTTTTACATCAAGCATCTTATCCAGAACTTGTTAAACCGAAGCGTCCAAGGATGATGCAAAATTGTAACACCCAAAACATTATTGATAGAGTTGTCTCCCATTTGGATGCGTTTGTGTCGCTTCGTTACATTAGCATTTAGCGTGATTATTTCATTCATTGATGCTTAGTGCAGGCAAAATATATAGAAATTAATTTTGAGCGTGATCAATTATGATGTTTCCCATGGTTTATGTTCTATGTTGAAATAAGAATTGTCAACATTCAAAATTACTTCATCTTCTTTCCGTTATTGCAGGGTCATCGGAACGCTCTCAAATTTCAAACCATTTTCATCAGCCTTCCAGTGTTCAAAGAATTCCCCTATGGTGCGGGAAACAGAATGTTCATTGTTCTAGTATTGAGACGAAAATGGAATTCTCACCCATGCAATATGAAGTCTCATTCATGAAAGATGGAATCCTTAAACATACAGGATGGATTATTTACCTAAACAGGATGGAATATTTACCCACACAATATGGAATCCTTACCCATGCAATATGAAGACTCATCCATAAAAGATGGAATCCTTACACATACAGGATGGAATATTTACTCACACAATATGGAATACTTACCCGTACAGGATGGAATATTTAACACATATGACATGTCTTTCAAATACAAGAGTTTTGCAAGATTGTGTTAGGGATATGGGTATAGACCCAAAGCATCGTATCACTATATACAATTACATATATCTTCTAATTTTTACTGTATTATATGTTCGCGTTTCCTTTCCCTGAAAAGCTGCATTTTAATATTTGCAATTTAATCAACGGTGCATTCAAACCGCACAAAAGTATGCCAAAGTTTGACTTCCACAGAATTACCGTTTACCTAATATACTCGAGCATAAACGGCTTATACATACATACATACATACATACATACATACATACATACATACATACATACATACATACATACATACATACATACATACATACATACATACATACATACATACATACATACATACATACATACATACAGGTGCACGCTGAATATGAGGCTTTATCATTCGAAGTATCAAGAACAATTTTATATCCCTTCAAGGAGAATTGAATTAAATTCTGACGTTATTCAATGCAAGACTAAGCCATTAATTTGACATTCTACCTTCTTATGTCATATATACGTACGTCCATCCTAATTTCATCTAGATTATATTAACTTATACGCACAATCAGTGTTTGACTGATTTCTACCGAATTGTTGACACGTGTTTAAAAAGTATTGCAATAATGCCATATCCCTTTTTGCACGTGCAATAATGCCATATCCCTTTTTGCACGTGTATCAGCTAGAGTTTGCTCAGCGTGTGTGTTCATTTTTTATTTTTCTTACAATATTTCTGTCTTTCGTATCACTTTAATTTTTATATCATTGCAAGTATTTCATTAAATCTTTTTATGTATTCATCCATATTGTGATGTGCTTGATAATCATATAATGCTGTAGAGTAAATGAAGAATCTGTTTTGGAACGTGTTGTGTATTTCTATAATATGTGTTTAACATTTTGTCCATGATTGTAGAATGCAAGGGTCGTTTTATAAATAATATCATACATAGCTAATACTGTACACGTTTGTACATTATATTTTGAAATAATTATCGTTTCTAGGAAAACATATTTACTTAGGTTGGAGTTCTTGATACAACCATTATTGTGACCTTAGAAGTTTCTAGATAATAATTCTCATTACAATTTGTTTGTTGCAAATCTCCATTAAGATGACAAGTCATGTGGTGATCTGTATGAGATTGTTTATAATTTAAAATGCTCTGGAAATGAACTTTTGACGTTTATCATGTTTCTCTTATTGTGTCTTAGGTGTTTTTATATTAGGGTTGTTTAAATCAGTATTATTTATTCCTATCTGACTTCAGTTGTGCTCAGATATAATTGGAGGTAAATATTTTCTTTTTTATTTATTCATTGGAATTGCAAAGTGCTTATTTACTTTAGGACTAAATCATTATTTTGGATATTTTGTGAATTCATTCAAGGTCATTCTTAATTATATCATTGTTATTTATCACAATAAAGTATTCAAGGTTATTCGTATATCAACACAGTAAATGTTGTAGTTTAGTCGGAACGCCATTGGAATTAATTCGGAATACTCTATACTTGTGGATTTGTGAAATAACGTTTAAGACTACTTGGATTTAACTCACAATAAGTTTTTTTCAAATTTTCATTTTGTATTTAGTGTAAACTATTTGTTAAATTTACAAATCTTGTTGGTTTTCGTTCTTTTCTGCTACTCAGTTTAAGATCATAGAGTCGTAACAAATGTGAATTAAGGACTGGAATGAGTGCAAATCGTTAGGCCATGTTATATCAATTACTCATTGCTTGCCTAAAAGTAGCATTGTTTAATTTGTTATCATTTGATATAGACATGATATTCACATAAAAAACAAGCAGTTTGCTTTTCAGCTTGAAAGGATATCCGGTATTGAAGGTCTTTAGATTTTAAAGTCTAGAAATAAATTATACTGGGCAGCCATAATATTCGTCATACACACAGCCACAATAGTCGTAACACATACAGTTAATATATTCTTTCTACAAGTAGCCTTAATATTATTTCATAAATGTTGTTGTTGCTGTTGTTAGGTTTAACGCCATTTTTCAGCACCACAAAGGCTATACATGGCGGCCAGTATAACTTGTGGAAGAAGAACCCTGGAAAACCCTGGGAAGAATGACCGACCCACAAAATGCTACTAGCAGGCTTTCTAACGTACCCAGGTTAGCCGAGCCTAAGACTCGAACCCACGCAGACAGAGGTAAGATAACAGTGATTCGGAACGATAAGCGCTTTAGTCGACTCGGCCACTAGGGTCATCTTTCATACATATAGCTATTCAAACATTGTCATAAACCTAAACGTGTTTCCTTTTTCTCGTGCGATATATACTATACACTGAAAATGAACACTAATTCATGTCAGGTATGAGCTTACATAAAATACGATTTTATATCATGTGCTATATCATTAGTGATTATCTCTGCCCAGATTATATACCAATATTGGACTGTTTATCTTAGCTTTATTCAATGGAAAGGCTTACAATGATAGGAGAAAGGTGCATCGGGAATGCACGGTGCACAGAGAACTGTACGCACGTTAAGTAAAAGCTTATATCGATCATATCTTATCCGCTCTCAACTTTCTCTGCGTACAGTGGTTTTAAAACAAAATATGTGACCTGAATATTCAAAGTCAATCATTTGCTTAAAATAATTTGTTACCGGCTCGTTGGACATCCTTTACAAGTGGTATGCAGATGTTTACCTTTTTACTGGTTGTGCCAGCGTAGATATTTTCGAATCATTATAGGTTTGACTGGAATGAGGGGAAATCTCAAAATCCGATCTGAAGATTAGTATTATTTTGATTGTCATTGTTTTGAATGTCATTGAACAAAAGGAGATTTTTCTGACTTACTGTTGTCAGGTTTATCAAACGATCATAATTATTTTGACGAAGTACGCTTGAAACTCGTTGATCAAAATGACTGCATTATATCGCATGTAAGAAATTCCAAGTGACAACTAACCTGTTCTATAAAGGTACCGTTAAATGGTACTTTGCTTGTGTGGGATTTTACTGATTGTTGGCAAAAGTAGGTTAATACACTTTGTGTGTGCAAGTGTGAATTCTGATTAATGTGTTTACAATTTAAAATCACCATAGGTACAAGGCACATATGGTAAAGATGCATACAGGCCCGGCCCTAGGATGCATGGCCCGAGGCAGCAAACGATGAGCTGGGGGTCACAAGCAACACAATTGCATTGCGGACAAGAGCGGGGCCAAAGGCGGTTTCCTCGTTCGCCCTGCCTTAAGACCGGGTCTGGTTGCATACATGTAATGTAATGAATTGTGCAAATTCACATACCACAGATGATTTAAGATCTGAACAGTGTTTAAAAAAAGTTTCATCTCATTTTGCATTCAACGACATTATTTTATCCAATTTTCACCAAAGAAACTTCATTGTTTATACTCCGATTCACAATGTATTAAACAATTCATAATAAATATATACATTAAAACTATTTTTATTAAACCCTATTCTATACAAATTTTAATGGAATAATATGCAGATGCACTAATTTTTTTGTGATTTTTGGAACATGATTAAATTTAAAAGTTTTGATGTGTTTTAAGTAGTCGTTAAGAAACACACACACAGACACACACATACACACGCACGCACACAAATTGCATGGTGTCACAACATATGCTGAAATACATTATACAGTCGTGGATAAAGCCTACTTTCTTTAAACGGTATATTTATTATTTCATACAACTGCCAATAAGATAAGATACCTCGAATATTTAAGAGTTAGTAACATTTTTGTAAGTCTTTGGTATGGGGATCCAACCCGCGACCTTCCCTTCCGAGGACAGACGCTCTAACCACTAGGCCACCGGAGCTGTTCCATGTAAATCATGCTGCATATATATATATATATATATATATATATATATATATATATATATATATATATATATATATATATATATATATATATATATATATTGTAAAAAAAATCATGCGGGCGCCAATGCACTTATGTTTCTGCATTCGTTGTCATATAAAAAAGATGAATAAAAAATCATTTGGGAAAAAGTGAATTTCAAAGGGCTATTAATACTAGATAGTGTGATATTTGTTAATGATCTAGTATACTCACAAAAGGTCATAAAAAACACCATTTTCTTGGTTGAGTGAAAATGTATTTACATTGGCTTCGTTACAATGAACCATATTCATGTAGGCTACTTGTTGTAATGTTTCTATTTCAAGGTTTCAATCCACCCCAAATTCCTTTTCTCTCTCACTCCACATTTTTGCTTTGTTTTTTCGTTATGCATGAGAGTGGAGGGAAAACATAAATCAAAAAGGATTATGATGGAAATCCATATTATATTCGTTTAGATAACGATGATTATTAACACTTTTTATAGTCATTTTTATACGTCCGTCACTAATGATCATTATGCGGAAATTCATTGATAAACAGCAGACAGTCGCTAGATTATTTATATATGCATATTATTGCGCCATGAGCGGATCACAATTTGATATACCAATAGTATTGGTATACCAAATTGCTTTATACCAACACTTTAAATGCCATTGTTATTTTAATATGTACACACACACACACACAGATATATATATATATATATATATATATATATATATATATATATATATATATATATATATATATATATATATATATATATATATACTACCGAGTTTCGAACCCAGGTTCGCAAGTAAATGGCGATGGGTGCCAATTTACTCGCGGACCTGGGTTCGAAACTCGGTAGAGTACGAATTTAATATCTCTAACCTGTATGATAGTATTGTTTGTATTAAACTATTATTTCTGCCCACTATTATCAAGATTCTACTACAGAATCCAGGTGTAGCACAGTCTGTTCTGTCTTGTATGTATTGATAATTATTTATTTTATATATATATATATATATATATATATATATATATATATATATATATATATATATATATATATATATATATATATATATATATATATTCATGAAGTAAATATTAAATTCATCATCAGATATTTGCATATATAATCAGTTTTTGTTAACTTGTATAAAAACTTGATTTTTTTAATATTGTTAGAGAGAGAGAGAGAGAGAGAGAGAGAGAGAGAGAGAGAGAGAGAGAGAGAGAGAGAGAGAGAGAGAGAGAGAGAGAGAGAGAGAGAGAATCTGCGCTGTAGGGCTTGTAATAAATATACAGTATTTTAACACTGCAATGTACGCAACACCTGAAATAACCGTAAAGTGGGTCATAAGGTATACCTGTGCATACATATACTTCTGGACAACTTTATGAATTAGAAAAGAACCCTTTGGACGTAGATACTAATTTCATTATTTAATATTCGAGTGGAGTTCATACAACCAATGACGAGGGGCAAGATATCTGCCATACTTCAGACATTTATAATACTACATACCATATATATATATATCGCACAACCTTTCGTATGCCAACATGAACTACATAAAGAGAAAGAACTTTTATACTCTTTGATATAAAAATAATATACGTGTAACAACAAGGGGAAGAAATAAGTGATTCCAGCAAACAAGCTTTTTTCTTGTTCTTACGTGGAGATAAAACAAATCAAAATGCTCCCCTTGTAAACAATACAAGAAAAGCATTATGGAGTGATTTTAAATGTTAACTTAAGAGTTTAGCTTAGAGCAATAAAGGTATTCATTATATAGCACAAGTATCGAAAATCTGACCCCAGATTGACCCTGAGGTCGACAACAATGCATTGGCATGATTAACAAGTAATTGCTGGGAGGGGGGGTCTTCAAGAATAACTAATCATCCAGCAATGAGCAATTACATTTGTTGATAAATTTACCCATTTACATGATGAACTTTTATTGATTTTTTCCCCTCTATGCTTTAGAGCAGGTGCTGTCAGAATGGTAGCACTACTAATACACATATACGCTATTAACAACGAAGAGTTCGTACGTTTAGAAGGAAAGGTCTAAGATTTGCCATTACGACCTGGGAAAAATGATGTGGAAAGCAAGCTAATTTCGAACTTAAAGAATATTTTTATGCATTTATAAACCTCCAAATGCACACGATTGTGTAAATTAGGATAAGAATAATAAGATATTTCACAAAGTATGAACTGTATATGTTTGAAATGATTTCTTTTCTTCAATCTTCCGGTCATGTAGTATTAAGCAAAACGGTTAAGTACCTAGAACACATAAAAGACCGCCTTCCTGATTCCATTATTAGTATTAATATGCATCTTATTTAGGTTTCTTCTGGTGACAGAGACTCGCAGAATACGTAATTACTAGTATGAGGGCTGGATTAAGGTCCTCTGGGAATCTAAGTACTGAACTTATTATGGTGCGGCTACCTACACTTTCCTACAAAATGAGAAACTCAAAAAGACAATATTAAAATCTAGAAAGGTAAGAAACTACCAGTGCTGCCATCGTTCCAAATCATTTAAAAAAAATTGTCCTGTGCCCCTGTTGGGCTGGTGCTCTAACACGTTCTTAATGTGTTTAGTGGGTAAAAACGTCGTGACTAGACATTCAGTTGAATGTTCTCCCTGTGTGTCATTAGTAAAGCTCTATAGTTGTACAAACAGTATTTAAAATATTTTTAGTATGTATATATTTTAATATGAAGTTAATTGTAGATAATTAATATTTATTGTAAAGATATGACCCCATGGACCCCAATTATTTTCATCACTATTTGTCTGGGGAAATGAAAGGCATCAGGTTTGGCACCACTAATTGTCTCGGGTAAATGAAAGACAGACTTGGCACCGCTGTTTTTTCTGGGGCAAATGAAAGATATACATCAAGTAGGAAATATATTATAATTGATTGTCAAAATATATGAAATGCCCGTGATTTTTAAATTTAACGTTCCTTTCCATTGGATATTTATGTATATTTACAATATGCATAGATACACGTACAATGTTTATAAATGTTGTTTAATATTGCTGTGACTTGACTCCTGAGTATCATAAGAATCATTTAATATTACCCTAATTTTATTTCAAATATTGCTTTATGTTTTTGAATATAGGAGACTTTAATATACTTTGTACTTTATCAAAATTATTACCAATTTTTACCTTATACTATTCAATATCGGTAAGCCTTTCATTTATTTTGTAAAATAACAAATTGTGCGTGTCTTAATTCTCAGAGCAATCGATCTGTATACAAGTAGTTACGGTAAATTTTGCAAGGAGTAGCTTTGCTAGTTACTGACCAGTCAGATTTCATATTTTATAAATATGCAAAATTATCAGTTTCAAAGGTCAATTAGTGAATCTAGTAGTAGAATTTGGTGAAGTGTGTATTTCAAGGTATTTAGGTTATTTGAAATACGTTTTTAATTGTTTATTAATATAATCCCAGTAATTCTTGTATAATGAAAATATTTAGGTCTATTCCTTGCCCAAATGCACGACCTTGAACCATGTCTGCGTCTACGAACTCTAATTTCTGATGAATGCTCTGTCAAAACAAAGTGGTTAAATGCAACTGTAGTGAAATATCCTCGTGATGGACTGCCTCTCCCAGTCCAATCAGACCACACTCAAAGAGATTGCACCGAATATTTTTTATCTTGCTTAAAAAGTTTTAAAAATGTCGCATTAACATGTGGCGGATTTAGAAATATTGTTGGAGGTGAGAAGTGGGTGTATAAGCAGCAGAAGTGTACATTTTACGCCTTTCTAGGAAATACTATCAAATCTCTAGCTGTAAAGAAACCTTGCTCCAGGAAAAGTTCCGGTTGGTTGACTCTCATTTCGTGGGCGAGCCCGGCGGGGCAGTTAATCCAGCAAATCCGATCCTGCTTGCATTAAAAAAAAAAATGCATGCTCCAAAATTCATGACACTGCATACTATCAAATGATCCATGTCATATTACAAACTGCCGCCATTTTAAATCACCAACTAAAACTTTACTTAATAAATATACAGATTTTCCATAACTTATACGTCACATCCGCTGGTTCTAACCCATGTATCAATGGGTATCGAAATACTTGAGCCCGTGATTGACTTGTGAAATTCAAACTCATGTCACTGCACAGCTTTCTCCTTTGTTAAAGATCTTTTGATGTAACGTTTGGTAGAAGATGACTAGTGTATTTTCATATTTTAATAGTCATGGAGCTACTTGTAATTGTTTCTCATGTAAATGCATTAACATGTTTGTGAGCTGAAAAATATCTTTATTTAAACACATGCATAACTTCATGACATTCAAATACATCTGGAATAATAGCCTAAGTGATAATAAAACATGATTCTAAATATTTGTCCCTATTTTTAGTAAAATTATTTAACTCAGTTTTTAATACCGGCCACATCCCTAAACAATGTGGCGGAAACATTATTTTCACATTACAGAAAAAGGCGCTTCAGATGCCCCTAATAATTACAAGGGTATCTCTGCTATTGATATCTTGATTAAAATTAAACCTAAAGCCAATAACAAAATTCAATAAGCTCAGACAAGATTCTGCCAAGATTACTCAGCAATACATAATATTTGTTCAATTCAAGCAATGGTTCGGAAATACTTGAGTAAAATAGGTCGTTTTTACTTTCTTATTGCAAACTTTTCCAACGCTTTGGACTCAACTGATTATAAAAACTTACTGACTTGCTTATTCAACAAGGCTGTCGTTTAAAATCTGTTGAAAGTTCTAGACTTCATGTATACAGATCTAGTTGTTTTTTTGTTGTTGTTTTTTTCTTCATGTGTACATATACAGCATTCACCTGTAATATTGGCACGAAACAAGGTTGCATATTAAACCCTCTTCTATTCAATCTCTGACAAAATTGTCATAATAGTA